TGAAGAGTTTTACATGCATATTATCATGGATAAACGGTATGCCTTTCACATCCATTTCTTTGCAGTGGTTTATGTATCCCTGTTCTAGTATAAAGAAGAAATATCCTATTTCTTCATGAGAGAAAGGTTCATTCTGAGTACCCTCAGGTTTTCTAGTGTTGCCTGAGATCAATGTTCATGCAGTTACGGTGGAACAGCTGATGGGTAGTAGCTTGTTTCCGCAGTGCAACCTGTTGGTGTGCCAAGGCTGATCTTGTGTTAGAACAAAGTACAAGAATGATTTGGCTTTTACAGGACTGGCAGAGAGTGTAAGAAGAGGCAACTTGCAGTGGAGTATTCCTGTTTTTAGCAAAGGTACATGCCATGAAAGGGAAGGGATTAGATGAGTTGCAGAGCTTGGTGTTTTTCTTTAGCACTCAGTGGTTTTGTAATGGTTGGGGGAATTTGTGTTCTTAGTGCCACTGGGCAATTTATTATGTGAGTCATCTCTGACAGAGTTGTGCTGTAGGAATTATAAATTTATTTTGACAAACCATCAATACAGACAATGAGCTGCATATAAATTTTGTATTGCCCAAGTGTTTCTTGTCCTTGTCAGGCTAATATCCTTCAACCTAGAATAGCTAGAAGTAAAAGCTGACAAAATGCAATTATGATGATGTCATTAGATTTTTTGGCTCTTCAGCATTTGACGTGCTTTGTTTCTTTCCTGTTTTCTAGAGTTATTTCTCAGATTTATTAACTTGTTTTATTTCAAATGTGTTATTTCTAGAAGGAAGCTTGTGCTCAGGATTCTCAACAACTATGTGTAAGCAGCACAGAAGAAACTTCAGGTATAATGAGCTAATATTCTAAGTTAGCAAAAGCCCACACGTGTATATTGCAGTTATGCAAAGCTGAGTAAAAAAAATTTAAAATGTTTTCATTGACTTGATCAATCAATCTATTTCATTAACAAAAATAATGACCCACAGCACAGTGCCATTCCCCTCCCTAGCCTCTCATCATTACATTTCATTAACACAAACTAGACTTGGGAACTTTTTGAATGGCACTTCATTAAGTTTAAGTATCAGTGGAAGGGCAACTTCTTGCTCTCTTCTCCCTGCTGTGAGCTCCTGCTGCTTACCTGGTGCAAAGTTTAGCAGTTGTTAGAGCCCTTTATGAGCCTCTGACTCACTTACCTGTCAAAAATCGAATGTGACAGAGGGAGAGGACCTGTGTAGTTTTCCACTGGCTTAGTGAGCTATAGTGGCTTGTGAAGTTGTCGAGTGAATGCCAGTGTCAGAGTTGTGTGAGTAGGAGGGGCTGGACTGTGGAAGTGTGGAGCAGGGGAGAAAGGAGAAGAGGGGAAGAAAAAGGAAGAAAACAACCAGACTTCCCTCTTTAGCTGTAGTGAGTCAGCAGATTAACTCCTAACTGATTAGATGTGATGAAAGGTATGAAGGTGATGGCTGCTTTTCCCTAAAACAAATTGAAATGGAGCTGGTTTGGAACCAATACTTGTCTAAGGTATGGGAAAATCACTGTGTCGGAAGCCCAGAATACTTACTTTACATGGAAACTGCAGTCCGAAGTTGTAACTCCAGAGCACGTGCAAAAGACAGGGCTAATACTTCTTAGACATCTGTTGTTATGCTCTGTTATTGCAAGGATCTTGGGATGGAGCATCTTAAATCATCTTTAATTAAATAAAGAACCAAAGTGAGTTGAGATTGGAATAACAGCAGCTTTGCATCAAGAATGAGAGCTGTCTTAAGTAATGGAGCAGCACTGTTGTTTTCCATCTTTTGAAAACTTTACAAATGTTCTCTCCTTAATTTCATTCTCATGGATGGCAGTTGGCAGTTATCTGTTAATGTCCATCTGTTGACTAAATTATTTATATTTTTCATTTATTAAATTCAAGACTATAATTCTCAGGACCTCTTCTGCAAGTCCACAGTGAGGGGGAAAATCCTTGTGTTTACCATCAAAACAGCAGATTCCTGCCATTTAAAGAAGTAAATCTTAATACCTGACAGTTGCAATTAAAGACAGAGGACCATTTGACCACCATTACATAAGTTTAATTAAACTGCAGATTGTTCTTTAATGCAAGAACACCCATTTAAAAAGCTCCATCCCTACTAGGCATTTTTAATATTCTTCATTCTGAATGGTAATCAGGACTCCACTGCAATGAATAGGCTCCAGGGGGTGATGATGTGTATCTCATCTAAGAAGAGGGAAGGATATTGTCTCAAGAATATCCCCAGTGCCTCTTTCCGTGGAGAAATGAGTGCCTAAGATTTAATACTTCAAGCTAGGGAGGGCCTGAAGAGAACAGTGTAATTTCAAACTTGAATAATAGATTTTTGTTATTTCTTTGTTTCTGTGAAAAAATTATAGTAGTGAACAATGATCATAGATGTCCAGAGGAGGAACAGACATTCATTTTAACATTGGTGGAAATCCCAGCTGACTCAAAAGAGTTTGATGCATCTGCTTTGCTGGAACAAACTTCAGAACCTTTACTCCCAGCCCCAATACTTATCAGCCCAATAAATGCAAGTGAAACAAGCATGACTGAAGTGGAGAGGTAAATGCTTTCTTTTTGTGCAAAGTGAAACACTTTTTGTGAACCTTGATTGTTCCCTGAACGTGCATCACAGATTAGAACTTCTCAAAAGAAGAAATAATTTTGGCAGACTGGTCAGAGAATTAAGAAAGTGAAAAGGGCTCTAGTCAGATTTCGGAAAGATCTCATCAGTGGTTTAAAGTTAGTGTTTTAGTTAGCTGGGATTTGGGTGTCAACCTTAATTGTGATTTATCCTTTAGAGCAAGTCTTCCTTTTTAGTAGAAGTCATTTGTCCAGCCTGAGTCTATTCTGTCATGGGTACTTAAAATGAAAAGTAACTGAAATGAAAAATCTAAACATGTCTGCATTTTTTACAGTACTTGAACAGTTTTGTAAAGTAGCTGTCCGTTAATTGCTCTTCCAAATTTTTAGTGTAGATGGTCTTCTGGAGAACATGATAAACAGTGGACATAAATTGAGGTATCATTCTCTTGAGTTTGTGCCATGTTCAAAAGGCAGAAGTGCTAAAAAGCAAATGAATTATTCAACAGAATAATAGCTGGTTTGCAGTACTGTGATACAAAGGGTTTGAGTTTCTTTTACAAGTAGAACTCCTCAATGCAATATAACAAAATTGTTATTTCAACATTACAGTTGAACTAAATCTCCTGGTCAGTTTGGGAGGAAAAAGCCAACATCAAAGGAAAAAGACATTCTGAAGAATAGGAAGTGTTGCAAAGTTGTAAAAAAACCCCTATTACTATGTTAATGTAAGTCATCAGATCATAACTAGAGGTGTGATGCAATTCCACATCATTGTAGAGGACCTTGCCCTGTGACATCAGATGTCATTCCCTTAGTTATTAACAAGATAGGTCTTTGAGTGAATTTTGGATACACAATGAATTTTGGGTACACAATGTAAGAATTCTAACTCCTGTGGAACTACTGATGATAGACAGAATTGCTGACAGGCAGAGTTAGGGTACATCTTCTGTCTCACTGTCTCTTACTGCTTTACCCTACTTCCCTCGTTTCAGCTGCTTCCCTAGATGTCTTGCTGTCTTCTGAGATCATACCAGGGGGGAGGGGTGTGTGTGGAAGGGTCTGGGCACATGGGGATGAAGATTCCACTGTGCATATAAATAGTACTGTATTTTAGGATTTTCTAGGGCAGTTTATCAGTTGTCATATTTTTACATTTTATGAAAATATCACATGGAGTTCAAATAGAACAGCTTCTAAAGTAACTAGATTCAATTATGACTAGAAGAACTCAATTCTTTAACTTAAGATAGCGCAGCAAAATGTTTCTTGGTAGTAAATAGTACATTTGAAGTTAATATTGACATTAAGCAAGAAAGAGTATCACCATAGATCCATGTGTAATTTCCATACAGAAATGTTATACAAGGTAAATTTTGGCTTCTTGGTCACAATAATGACTTTATATATAAACAGCATTGGATCCTTGACAACTGCACCTGATGAATTTAGTGCACCTTTAAACAGCAGTATGGAAACCAAACAACTAGAGAGTGCATCAGTAGAGGCCATTCCAAATTTGCAGACAACTCAAAAAAGGTCAGCTGCTGAGCTTGAAGAGAATGATTTTCCTCCTGCCAAGAAAACTCTGTCTACTGTTGTAGTGGAAGGTAACTTGGAAACCACTTACAAGGTGAGATGGTAATTTGGTAAGTAAGTGTTTATGCATAGTGTAGATGCATAACACGTAATGGAGCATTTTAATTATGTTTATTGTTTAACGGTGTCACTTGCTTAAAAATGTACTGCCTGTACAACTTAAAGGGAAAATCAACACCCATAGATTGCTTTTTATTTTGAACTTTATGACAGTTTTTGGGCTGTTGATTTAGTGTTAATTTTTTGGAGAATCTGTAGGTTCTCAGGGTTTTTTTTATTAGGCTTCCTAATAGGCAGACTGGTGATGTGTTTTGTTTGGTTTATTCACCACAGCCTTTCCAACAACAACATTGCAGGAGGGGAAACTCTAGATGTATATTGGATGACTGGCAGACTGTCTAGGTTCACTGAATGATGTTATGATTCCTCATGGTGTCTGTGACATGAAGAAGTTGTTAGATATGTTCCTACCATTTTTTAACATAGCGGGTATTAGTTTAAAAGAACAAGCTGCAAATAAAATGGCCAGCATGTTTCCAGCTTCTCTCTGTGCTTTTAGAATATGACCAAGCTTGTGGTAGTGACTACCATTCATTTTTGTGAGTAGGCTAAGATTGTGTAGAGTGTCTGGGTGAGGGAATGGGTGATAATTCCTCACATGATTCAGGAAGCTTTTCTAGGAAGGACTGAATAACAATCCTCTTCCTTCTTCGACCTCTCATCTTGACATCCTTGTCTTGAGTCATTTGTCATAAGAACACCTTGAAAAGCCTGCTCAGGAAATGAGTTAAGTGATGAAGATGTAGTCTTCTGTATCACTTCTGTTCTTAGAACTGTACACTGATATGAACTGCATGAGATGACTTTAACAACTTTCATTGTCTCTTCTATATTGAAAGAAGTAGAGAAATAACTTCTTTTTTTCTTTTTTAAATACAGGGTTATTCAGTTAAATCCACAAATGCTCTAGGGATAGCTTCTGGTAGGTAAACTTAAACTCGTAAAACAAAGTATAATAAATGTAAATGCATACTACATCACAGTTTAATACTGGTGGTTGTTGTGCTTAAATAGTCCTGTCTGATGCTATCTCACGTAAAAGTAGAAACAAATTTTCCCGGTAATACCCTAATACCACCATTCCATGTTTTCTGCTATAAACTAGATGTGTTGGATTACGTAACTGGCTGTTAATTTAATAGTGGTTCTAAAAACATTGCTGTAGCTAGTCTGTTTGTGAAATTTGGGAGGTTTTTTGGACTAAACATGGTATCTTCTGTTAAGCAAATATTTCCACCTGTTGGAGAGCACTAATAACCAAAGGTATTAACTGGTATTTTAACCATACTATGCCAAAATAACTTATTTTTATATTATTTTGTATTTGTCTTTTAAAAAAAATATGCACAATGTAATTGTTTGAAAGCTTAATCTGACTCTGAAGAATTAGAGGGAAAGCAGAACGGCTGACAATGCAATCTTCAGTGATCTGAGCCTGTGAAGGGTTTGGAGAACTACTTTTTGGCCCTGAAAAAGATTTTAAAGGGAAATTAAACGGCTAGGTGACTTGACTAAATTCTATTGTGTGCTGTAAAGGATGGGCAGCAGTGTGCTGTAAAACCACACTTCTACCAGCTTTCCCCCATTAATCTGTAAGATCTTACAGCCTTTAAAAGTAGACCGTGGACTTTTAATTCTTAGTGGTGACTTCAAAAAAAAAAAAAAAAGGACAAAAAACTGAACAAAAATTCAGCCCTTCTCTTGTAATGGTGCGAGCCATCTTAACATCGCATGCATCTTTTGGGCTGTTGTGTTATCACTGAAGTTACGTAACTGAAGTCCTTGAATGACTCTCAACTCCTTTTACAGGGAGTCCTTTTCAAGAAACAGAGGCTTCAGCAAAGGAAAAAGTACTTACCTCTGTGTTGGTGTCTGAGTCTGTGTCACCACTGGCTGAGAGCAGCCAGCCTGAGCCTTTGGAGAACTTAGGGAAAGCACCACTTGAGAATTCAGCATCCAAACAGGAAGAGGAGGTGATGTCCAGATTAACCTCTAACAGAAAAGCAGAAATAAGTGGGCAAGGAAAGCAGGGGGATGTGCATGAATCTGGACAGTTAGAATTTTCTGGAAGCCCAGCATCATCTTCAAAAACTCCATTACTCAGGTATTTACACAATAATGTTTTGTCAACGTTTTCTGTAAAAACGACCTTGTTTCCATATTGAGGTTTTTATATCCTTTTTCCACTTAGTATTACAAGAAGAGTAGTACCATCGTTTGTGATCTAAATGGCTAAGAGTTACAGTATCTATGCTCCTCAGCAAATTAGAAGGGATCAAACTGTCTGCTTTGAAATTTGAATTATTTTATTCATTAAATGAGCAGATTGACCAAGGGACACTACTGACGTATGGTGTGTCTATTTAGACGCTGACAGATGCCTCTTGTGAGGCAGACATCCGTTGGCTATGATATGGATTTAAGATAATTGTTGTTTTCCTTAGCTCAGTCTAATGTTGTGATACATATACCCATCCACTTGTTTTGATTTTTGTCCTTCTGCCAATAAGATTTGTTACTGGTATAGTACTGAGCACACTGGATTTTTAGGACTACTGAAGATGTGTCATTTCCCCAGAGGAGTTTCAATCTTGACAGGTCAGAGGATATTCCTCTTATCTATCCATCTGACTGTGGATTTTTTTTTAATATTCCTTTCTATAATGTTTAAGTGTTTGAGTTCCTGCTCTCTATTGCTCTCATGCTCACTGATTTTGATTGTGGTGCTCCACTAGTCTGTTCTGATCCTGTCGTTTATTCTTTCATTATGCTTGTGTGAGTACCAAAACTGATTATTTGTACCTGGGACATCCACAGCAATTGGGTAATGATGCATAACATCAGAATCCTTGCCTTAAAGTTTACTTTCTAAGTTGTAAACTCTTAACAACGTGAAAAGTTGATACTCTCTGTACCTCCCTTATCACTGGGACTTCCGTAAGTTCACTGGTACTAGGTATGATGCTGTTGAGAGGCTGAAAACCTGCAGCAGATAGCCTTCTTTCCAGTGCTTGAGACAGTCTGCTGTGGCCCCATCCTTGGGAATCAGGTTTCTTTTTCCATTGATTACATGAAGGATGCTCTTTTCAGTTTGTTCTTTAGGAGTATGTCTCCATTCCTCTTGGAATCTGAGGATCTAGAAGCTTGTTACAGGCTCTGGTTTAGTAGAGGTTTTTTACAGGTTCCTGTTCTCAGGGTTGGAGATTGTCAAGAGTCTCTGTAACTCTTCAAAAAACTCTTGTGCCACAATATTCAGTAACACAAAAGCCTTTCTCAGAATGACTTTTTGGGTTTTTTTGTCTTGGAATTTTCATAGATCTCGGAGTTGTGTTTCCTGTGTAATGAATTGAACTTCTGTAATACTATTTACATCTTCCTTTTATGGAGCAATCCTATGACATCCTGACTGTATTTGTTTTGAACAGGGGTGGACGAAAACCATTGGGATTTTTATCTTTAATTTGCAAAAAAAGTAGTTCTGAATCTGCAGAAGATACCAAAGGGAATAGCGGGAAGATCCAAAAACCTCGAATTGTGACTCCAAAGCGAAGTCTTAAAAAACCCACTCCATCCACTAAGGATGATAGGGAATCTTGTTCCCTTCCCTCTACAAGCACATCATCATCTGTGGAGTATGAGAATGTAGCTGCTGATGCTGCAGTTACGGTATGTGTTTACTTTTGAATGCCCTTGCATTTTTGAGATGTGAAGAACAGTGAATTAGTTGTTTCAGGAGTGGGTAGGTGGGTATGTAGTGTTCATGCTTAGAGAGAGGTACCTGCTCCAGTGAATAAATCCTGACTTGTACATGTCTAGGAAACTTAAAAGGGAACTAAGTTGTTTTTTCTCTGCACATATATCTACTTGTTTGCCATTTTCAGTAAACTCTGAATTTTTTTGTCTAGAGCTTCTAATTTAGACAGGAAGTTAAGTGCATATATATATATACACACACACACATATATGTGCACACACACACACACACTTACAAACAGATTAAGACTGTTAAGAGCAGCCTCTTCTTTTTCTACTAGGTTCCAAGTAACAAGCCATGTGAGAAGCCACCCCTCTGTGCTAAAGATCAAGACAAGGAAGAAGAGCCAACCAGAATCTCTGAGTATTTTTTCAGTGACATCTTTATGGAAGTGGATGATTCAGAATAGCAAATTTGCTTTATAAAAACCTGGGATCTGATAGTATAATGCCACAAGACAAGAATATTTTTAAGAAGTTCTGATTTGTTCTATTGTTCATTATGCCACACTTACTGTCAGCCAAGCTGTTGTTAATAAATTCCATAAAGATGAAATGGATTCCTTCTGAAGTGACCTGGATACTTTTAAAATGTTGACATCTGAACCACTACATTGATGTCATTGGACCGGACCAGCGGCTGCTCGCTTATAGTTTCATTTGTTTAGACGCCAATAACGGGTCCATGACTATCTTCCAGAAAAGTGCAATGAAAAAATGCTTAATCTTGTTACAAATATCACTTTGAATTTTAATGCTAAAGCTTGTGGTACTGGTTATACAAGTTCTTTACTTCTTTTTGTGAAGTATGTTATGTTAGTGTGTTAGAAGGAGGAGTGAACCTTTTATGCATAGTGTAATCTCTGTAGATCAGGATGCAAATACTGGAAGTAGTGTAGTAAATACATAGGTATGTCAAGCACTGCAGGTATTTTTATTAGCATCTCCAAATGACATATTTTTGTAAGAGTTTTTAATTACATAAATTAAAAGATCCTAACCTGAAAAGCCAAATGGGTTTAGTTCCTTAAAAATGTGTTGAGAACAACCAGAAAAACACAATTTACTAAAAGATGCTACACAGTGTTAATCTTTGCAACTGTCCTATTGGAGCAGGAGGAAGAGGTTAATGTTTACTAGTATAAATGCTAATTTCCTTCTAAATTTGAAAATAAGGGGATAGATACTGTTTCTTTTCCTTGGTTTTATGTGTAGGTGTTTGTATCTCTGCTGACTTCCTTGGTTTCCCTTGTGCAAAGTAGCACAAAGATTGGATTTAAACCATGACTATACAATGTGGTTGCTTTGAGGATTTGCTACTTTGAAGCAGTTGAATTTGAATGGTTTTCCTCATGTTGCATGTCTACTTATACTGTAACTCGCTATGAAATGCTGGTGTAGCTTTAGATTTTAGTCTAACTTTTTACTTGCCTCATCAAGAAGATTGTCTTCATGAGGTAACAAGGTTCATGCAGTCCCAAAGTCAGGTGGTCGTTGAAAGATTCAATATTTATTCTGAAACTCCTTATTACACAAAAATAAGTGTATAGATTTAAGTAGTCTAATTTTTTCTCCTGTTACTTAATACCAGCAGGTACTTTTGTAAAACAAATGATTTATTATGAAAGTGCAACTGATGTTTAAATGGTATTGTTATGCTCTCAAGAAACCTGTCTTCAGCTTTGGACTGGATAATCATTTACTGATACTTATATTTTCATATAAGTAATTAATTTTGAAGTACTTGAAGTTTGAGCATGTTTGCCTCTTCAGAAGTTATTGGCAAGGCTTCTGAAGGAGCCTTTAAAATTTTGTCAACAAGGAAAAATACAGAGAAAAGCTACTGTTACGGCAGATTGCTACATTATCAGGCCTCTATCAATCAAATGTCACTAGCAGCAGTATCTTCCTGAGGTGATGGAAAAGGGACTAACAGTCCCAGTGTAAAGTAACTTACTTGAAAGCATACTGTCAACCTCTCTTCCCCCCCAAAAAAAACCCCAAAACCACGACCACCACCAGTTTCTGTTCAGTATCTTGTGCTCTGCCTAATCCATTTAACTTGAAATGTTTATCTAAATATTGTCTTACTGTAAACATTATGAAATAGATTAATCTATACAAAAAGCTCCATGTATTGTATATCTTATAGATATTATTTTAGGTATGCAAGTGTTTAGTTCTTGATACATGTGGCATGTTTAAATCACTTGCACTGATAGAGCCTAAAAATAGATTTGTGGGAGTTGCTATAAAATAATTGCCCTAAGTACTTTCTGAGGTGATAACCATTCTACATTTAGTTGTGTACATTTTAGCTTGCATTCATATTACAAGGAAAAAAAAAACCCCACAACTATTTCATTACTAAGATTTAAGGTGCCTTATCTACCTTGTTAATTGGGGCTACTCATTTTTTTCCCTTGCAGTAAATCACATGCACTTTGTTAGAGGATTTTTTTTTTAACAACATATTTAATTTGAATAGCGATAAGACAACTTTGTGTTCTGTTTTGTGTATGAAAGTCTTATAACGGTGAAGCATGTAAGAAAAGATCAATGAAATTTCAATGCCTATTAGTTTAGCATTTTTACAAAGATGTGGCATAAGACTGCTTTGCTTAGAGTTGTCTGACTCCCTGTATCATCACATATAAGCTTTCTGTTTCAAAGAAAGTAGTCATATTCTGTATGTAAATTATGTGAATAAATTATTTTCTATTACCAGTGTTTCCATTTCTTAGAATATCAGTTGCATTTTTTACATGCTCATAGGTATAGTAAGTTAACAAAAGTGTGGGCTAAATGAACGGCTACAGTATTGGCTGCAACACTGGGATGCATACAGGCCTGCTTGTGTGGTGGCAAGAGACTGAATACACTTGTTTGTGTGGTTCTGGTTTTGTTTTAGAGTAGAGCGTAATTTACTGGGTATCCGGCTTCCCCGTGCCATCTCTCCGTAAATAAAAAAATACAGCCTTGTTTAAAAACAAAATAAAACGAATGCTGGAAAACGGCAAAGCTTTCCAACGAGGAAGCAACTCAAGCAAAGAGGTTAGGATTTAAAAAAGATCTGTAACTATTACTGTCGCAGTTCTGCAGTTAATGGCAAGACTGGCAAGGACTTTTCTGGGTTGCACAAGCACGTAATCCTGTCTGAGAAGTGAAGCGTACTAACAATTCTTTCAAAGGGAGTTCTCTAGCTGTATCTTGCACCAAGTGCTACGGGGACGGGATGGAGCGCGGAGCTGCGGTGTACTGACGCCGATCTGTAAAGGGAGAGGCTTTTGCGTTTTATCGAGTTTAATTCCCCAAGTTACAGCCGGCCCGCGACAGGCAGGAC